ATGATCATCAGCATAGATGAAACTCCCTGTCCCTTCTGGCAGTGGCATCTCCAAGCCAGGCTTCACCCATGCTATCACTATGCATTACATTTGTGTTGCCTAAGTGTAGTCCCTTACGTCCCTCCCTGCTGAAATGCATGTTGTTCGCCTTGGCGAGGGAACCGTCACGCTCCTTGAACTCGGGGCAGGCGAAAGTAAACAGAAGCGGGTTCAATCCGCTCTCCGCCTGGTGCATCCATCTTGCCCAGGATGAAGCCAAACAGGTGTGACCCAAGCTTGGCAGGAGAAAAGGAACAGTCAGTCCCTGGGTCTCACGTTTAACAAGGCTGGCACTCCCTGGTGGTTAAGAGCTCTTTGAGAATGGAATATATTGCCCTTGTGTCTTTCAAGCAGAGGATGGATGGCCATCAGCAGGGAGGGCTTGGGTGATGCTTTCCTGCCTATTCCCAACTGGATGGTCCTTGGAGGTCCCTTCCAACTCTAGGGCTCTTTGATAGAGACGCAGACAAATAGACGCATATATACAGGGGGTGGACTGGATGACCTTTGGAGGTCCCTTCCAGCTCTAGGGCTCTTTGATAGAGACACAGATGAACAGACCCATACATAAAGGGGGTGGACTGGATGACCTTTGGAGGTCCCTTCCAACTCTAGGGCTCTTTGATAGAAACGCAGACAAATAGATCCATACATAAAGGGGGTGGACTGGATGGCCCTTGGAGGTCCCTTTCAACTCTAGGACTCTTTGATAGAGACACTGATGAACAGACCCATACATAAAGGGGGTGGACTGGATGGTCCTTGGAGGTCCCTTCCAACTCTAGGACTCCCTGATAGAGACACAGATGAATAGACCCATACATAAAGGGGGTGGACTGGATGGCCCTTGGAGGTTCCTTCCAACTCTAGGGCTCTTTGGGTTGATGTATAGACCCATGCATAAAGGGGTTGGACTGGATGACCCTTGGAGGTCCCTTCCAACTCTTTAACAGAGTCACAGATGAATAGACCCATCCATAAATGGGTTGGACTGGATGGCCCTTGGAGATCCCTTCCAACTCTAGGACTCTTTGATAGAGACACAGATAAACAGACCCATACATAAAGGGGGTAGACTGGATGGTCCTTGGAGATCCCTTCCAACACTAGGACTTTGATAGAGACACAGACGAACAGACCCATACATGAAAAGGGTGGACTGGATGACATTTGGAGGTCCCTTCTAACTCTAGGGTTCTTTGGGTTGAGGTATAGACCCATACATAAAGTGGGTGGACTGGATGGCCCTTGGAGGTCCCTTCCAACTCTAGGACTCTCTGATAGGCAGATGAATAGACACATCCATAAAGGGGGTGGGACTGGATGGCCCTTGGGGGCCCCTTCCAATTCTCCCCTTCTAGGAGTGTGCCATCCAAAGGACAATCCACCCCTCCGGGTAAAGAGTGCCAACCTGTCTCCATGAACCCACGCAAGCTGTTGTCAACCTCCCTGCTCTGATGCTGGGGCCCACCCTAGTTGGGTCCAAAGGCTGCCCCATTCCAGCTCCGAAGGCTGGGACGTGGGTCACGAGAGGCCAAAGTGCTACTGGATTATTCCACAAGCGCTGGGGAAATCCCGGGCAAGTGATGGAAAAATCCTAGAATCGCAGAAGAGTCGGAAGAGGTCCCAAGGGCCGTCCCATCCAGTCCCTTTCCGCCAGGAAGGAGGACAACATTCAAGCCCTCCCGACAGATGACCACCTAGCCTCTGCTTCAAAACCTCCAGAGAATGAGACTCCTCGATGTGCTATTTCTGAATCACGGGGGAAGAACTGGTTTTTTCGGCCCAAGAAACCGCTCTGGAATGCTAAATCTTCCCAAGGGCTGAATCAAAACTAGGTGGGGTGATCTGAGCTCACACAATGTCCGGTTTCTGCGACTGTAAGGATGAAAATACCCCAAAGTTATCCCTATGAGTGGCTGAGAGATGGATACTAGCATTGTTGTTGGGTTGCTGTGAGTTTTCCATGCAGTCTGGCCATGTTCCAGAAGCATTCTCTCCTGACATTTCGCATCCTCAGAGGTTGTGAGTCTGTTGGAAACTAGGCAAGTGGAGTTGATATCCCTGTGAACGTCCAGATATATAAACAAGTGTGAATGTTGCCATTGGCCGCCGTAATTACCACTTAATGGCTTTGCAGCTTCAAAGCCTGGCTGATTGCTGCTTGGGGGACCCTTTGTTGGGAGGCAAGTGGGGTTTATATATCTGGATGCGAGAAAGAAAGAACTCTTCTCTGTACATTGCATTTGGCCACCTTGATCAGAATTGAACAGCCTTGCAGCTTCAAAGACTGCATGGTTGCTGCCTGGGGGATTCTTTGTTGGGAGGTGTTAGCTGGCCCTGATTGATTCTTGTCTGTAACTTTCATTTTTGTTCATTTTCATGGTTTCAGAAAGGAGGAAGCCATGAAAATGAACACAATCTGGCTACCAGTATTTACAAAACTCTAAAATCAGGACAGTAAACAAAGAACAACGCTCGGAAAACAGCTGAATTTCTAACATGAAACAATCAGGGCTAGCTAACAACTCCCAATAAAACTTCTTACTGCCTGGGGGAATCCTTTGTTGAGAGGTGATTAGCTGTCCCTGATGGTTTCTTGTCTGAAGTTCCCTGTTTTTTTTTTAGTGTTGTTCTTTATTTGCTTCTGGTCAACCTGTTCTAGGAAAATGGTGTGTGTGTGTGTGTTGTGTGTGTGTGTATATATATATTTGTGTATATCTATCTATCTATCTATCTATCTATCTATCTATCTATCTATCTATCTGTGGAATAATGGGAGAAAGAACAACATTCAATAACAGGGGAACTCCAGACAAGAAACCATCAGGGACAGCTAATCACCTCTCAACAAAAGATTCCCCCAGGCAGTAAGAAGCCACACCTTGAAAACTGCTAGGTCATTCAATGCTCATCAAGGTGGCCAATTGCAACATTCACACTTGCCTCAAGCAGACAAGAGTTCGTTCAAAGACCTCACAACCTCTGAGGAGGCGAAATGTCAGGAGAGAATGCTTCTGGAACATGGCAAGACAGCCTGAAAAACTTACAACCATCTATATAAACCTAACTTTCCTAGGTTCCAACAAACCTCACAACCTCTGAGGAGGCCTGCCCTAGATGTGGGCGAAACGTCAGGAGAGAATGCTACTGAAACATGGCCATACAGCCTGAAAAACTTACAACTATCTATATAAACCTAACTTTCCTAATTTCCAACAGACCTCACAACCTCTGAGGAGGCCTGCCCTAGGTGTGGGCGAAACGTCAGGAGAGAATGCTTCTGAAACATGGCCAGACAGCCTGAAAAACTTACAGCAATATATATAAACCCAACGTTCCTAATTTACAACAGACCTCACAACCTCTGAGGAGGCCTGCCCTAGATGTGGGCAAAATGTCAGGAGAGAATGCTACTGGAACATGGTGATAAACAACAACAGAGAGGAAGCAGGCAGGGACATCTAATTACCTCTCAACAAAAGTTTGCTCCAGGCACAGTCA